CAGCTTCTACCTCTGGCTAACCTCAAAAGTCAGGCTCCACTGTGAGCTGTGTACTAAACCCATGATTGATGTAGGTCAGAGTAGTGGAAGCCTAGCTGACTGTCACTCTGCTCTTGTAGCTCCTTCCATCTTTGGTCTTATTGGATATGTTAGGGCTGGTCAAAGACTTTCCTAAATTGTGCTGATTACAGTGAAGCTCATCATTGAGAAGGAGCAAGACTTTTGTCTGCCATTTCATTCATACTCCACTCTCCCAGGGCACACTCCCTAAGTTTCAGGCATATGGTCACTGCTAGATATAAATAATATGGAAGCCCTTGAACAAAGGATGAATGGCAATTCTGTGTAACTAATATGACCACTGTCCCTTATTGATTTTAGATACTTGTTACCCCACATTTTTTATTGTAGGAATATAAATGCATTTGGAATATAAATGCAATAATTATTTGGAAATTCACAAACTGCTTGCCTTATTCCCAGCATTTCTTTAGGACATCCCTGGAGGATCTTTTTTTTTTTTAAATTCAGGTTTCATAGTTTTGCATTTATCAGTATAGTTTACAGATGCAGCTGTCTGGTTTAGGTACTTAAGTGCCCCCCATCATCCCAGTCACCTCAGTGCTGTGTGAGGTAAAGAAATGCTGAAGTGTTGTTATTTCCTTTTTACAAATGGAAACCTAAGGAACAAAAGCCATGTCTACCCAGTAAATTTCACACATTCGGCAGCAACAACTTGAAGCATGCTGTGCTGCTCCAGGCAGACATCACCTAAATTGGAAGTAGTGCAAATAGCAAGCAGGCTAGTTAGCATGGGAAAGCTAATTAGCTGGTCTCTGCAGTGCTAATTAGCTTACCCAAAGTGCTGGTTGGGTGTGAGCTCTGGTTTAGGAGGCAGCCTGCCTGGAGCACCATGTAGACATGGTCCAAAAAACCCAGTCCAAAGTTATGCAGAAGAAAGTCTCTGACAGAGCAGCCCAGCTCTGGCCTAGGCTAGCATTGTAACTCTTGGACCATTGCCTGTTGGACAACATAAGGTGCAAAGTTTCTAACCTTGTGCTTTGCGGTACTGACCTTTATGCAGAGCACAACCTGTCAACATTCCTCATATTTATTTTTAAAGACTTTAAAAAAACCCACCCTAATTTTAAAAACATTTCTGATCATATCCCTCCTGAACAGATGCATATAAAAGCAGATTGACTGTAAATTAACGTTTTTCCCCAAAGATGGAACATAAACCATAATGGTATAAAAAGAACCTGATCTTCCCACTTTGAAAAGACTCTTATTGACTTCAGTGGGTGTTGGGCACATCCATACATAGCAAGTTCTTCGAAGCAAGGACTCCTTTTTTGTGCCTCCTTCAGCAGTGAGCCAATTGCCGGCTCATCCTAATGGGGAAGAAGATAAGTATCATTTCCTGCAAACCTTCTTACAGTACAAGTGAGCGTCTCAAGCTTACAATTGAAGTTTAGGTAGTTCTTTAAAAACACAAGCTGCAATTCTTAATTAATTTTCACTTTGTCCCTTTATAGCTCTCTGCAGGACTCTAGATATTAGAATTCCTGGTAAGCCTCTCAGATGAAAGCAAAACATATACACTGAAAATAATAAACAACCAAATTGCTGCTGTTTTAACATTACTTGATATTGAGAAACTCTTTATATATTATAACAGACAATGAAGTTTCTGTAGGGGCTGTAAATCACTTAATGTTGAAAGGAAATCCCAGACGGCATTATCAGTCACTGTGTAAAATTGTTAGAGATCTCCACCAGCTAATAAATTTGATTTGGGTTTTGTTTTGCTGGCATTTGCTCAAACCCTCTGAGAACTATAGTTACTGTATTCTTATACAGTATTTGAATTCAAAATTGCAATGCCTGTTTTGCTATCCTCTGGGAGTGAAAATAAAACTCTCGGATAGAATATAAATGTTGGTTGTTTTTCTTAGTAAGCTGGTACATTATTATTTCAGGAGATATAGTGTTTGACAAAACCATTTATTTTGTTTCAAATATTTTATTGAGTAATAAAACTAGTTTACATTGCTGCCACATATGGGGATTTGTGCCTGTTAATATGTAAGGGAGTCAAGGAAAGAAAGCAGTGTCCCTGCTCCACTGTTTTTCACTTTATAATCCTGGCCTCCCCACCCTTTGTCTTTAATACCATGCAAAATGCAACAGATAAAAAGGCCAGATACAGCCCAGAACAAGAATTGATGGAAGATCTGCACTGTTCCTGGATTAGTGGCAGGTATCGCTGTGACAAGAAACTGGAGCTGATTGGGAATTTTATTTCCCTGCTTGTGAAGAATATCAGTGAAAAGAGAAAAAGATTTTATTTCTGTAAACATGTTTTTCTTCCACACATTTTGGACTTTGTTGAAAGAAGGAATGCTTGAAAATTTCGGGGGTTTCAGTGTCTGAATAGTGACAAATATTTAGGTTTTAGCAGAAATGTTTCTATAAAGTTTAGCCAAAATTGTACATTTTTTCATGGAAATTTGTTTTGAGGGAAAAACTTTGTTTTAAAACAAAATGATAATATTTCCAATTAAAACATTATATCAGACTTTTTTCTTCTTAGTTCTTCCTTTCTCTGGGCAGGTAATACTTTTCCTCTGTCATTCAGCAGTAAAATATGGCACTTCTTTCTGCTGCTCTACAAGTGCAGGGCAGGGAGTCAGTGTTCTGTCCCCTGAACTCACCTGGTGTAGAGGAAGCAGGACTCCTTCTTGCTCTGAACCAAAGTCTAGGGGCTTAAGTTTTGCTCCTTTGTGTGGGTATCTAGCAAATTGCAAGCATAAGCCAAAGGTAAAGTGAACTAAATAATCCCAAGTAAATGAAAGCCCAAGGGTGGGCTTTACAAGGGAGTTGAGCCATACAGTATATACCTATTTCAATGGCAGTGGGATGGCTAAATCCTCTAGGTCATCTCTGAACAGTACAGTACCTCTAAGAATACATAATTTCACTATGAGACTTCCTCCCTAGGGAGAACACACATCCATGGGCTGGATCCTGTGCACCACAGGCCTCATCCAGTGCAGGATCAGTATGAGGGGTCAGTCTGTGGGTGAAATCCTGTGTGCCAGCGCAGGCCTCATTCTGGATCCAGCTGCAGAGCAACCCTGCATGCTACTGCACATAGGTAGGGTGACCATATGGGACAATGTGAAATCCGGAACACTGTAGTGTCAAGGCAGCAGTGGCAGCATTAATTGTTGCAGCTCTAGACTCTGACAGTGAATAACACTGTTACCACTCTCCTACTGCCAAATTTTCAGACCTGGGGCAGCTCTGTGAGCTGGATGATATGGGCCCCATCATGGCCTGGATCTGGCCCACGGGGCATTGCTTGAGCACCAGGAGTGTGTGAAATGGGCCTATTCAATTCAAATTCAGCCTGAATTGGGGACAGTGATACGATTCATTGATTCGGATCACTGTCCCTGATTCGATTTGGCTGAATCCAAATCTGAAGATTCAAAGCTGATTCAGAGAATCAGCAATTCGGACACAGGCAGAGTTTTAAATGTTTTTTTTACATACCTTGAGGTCACTGGCATAGCTTGTGAATGCTGCAATGCTGGGGCACATGGAGCGTCCCACAGGAGTGTGGGGGGGGAGGAAGGGGGGTCCCCCACATGCTCGGTGGCCAACCCAGAAGTGGACCAGAAGTACTTCCAGTCCACTTCTGGGTCCACCAACGAGCACTTGGGGGGGCCCCTCCATGCCCACCTGGCTCAGCGATTGGCCGCAGGGGAACCCCAGGTGCCCCCCCAGACCAAGGAGGCACCAGTTGCCAAGCAAGAGAGGGTATGGGGGGGAGGGAGAGAGCCCTGTGTGCTCCCCGGTGGACCAGGAATTGGACCGGAAGTGCTTCCGGTCCACTTCTGGGTCTGCTGCCGAGTGCTCTTGGGACCCCCCTGCGCTTCTGTGGGATGCTCTATGTGCCCCAGCATTGCAGCATTCATGAGCCGCCTGGTACCTTGAGGTATGTAGAAAAAACATTTAAAGCTGTGTCTATGTCTGAATTGCTGACTCTTTCTGAATCAATTCGGAGGGCTCTGATTCAATTTGGAGAGATTAAAGGGTCTTCTGATTCGATTTGGATTTGGAGATTTGGCCACTGAATTGGGCCAAATCTCCACCAAATCGAATCGGAGACCGAAGCTTCACGCAGCCCTTTGAGCGCCATTCTAGTTCATTTCCCCTGTGGGTCTGATTATTATTTCCCACTGAAATATCTTCCTCTAGCCTCCCAGGCTTTTTCCTTAAGTCCTTTCATTCTAAGCAACAGTCAGAGATGGAGAGGTAAGTTTGCCATGAGCAACAGATACAGAGGCCACATAGTGTTTCTGACTGTATTTTGATGCTGTACCCATGTGCTCAAGGCAATCCTGACCTAATCCATTGCAACTGAGAGCAGTGTCATGAGACTGCCCAAGCTTCAGAACCAGTACCAGGCAGTAGCAGCTCTAGAATTACTGAGCACCAAAGTCGGTGTGTGTATGAAAGGAAGGTTGGTTTTTCACTTAAGAAACTGGGCTGGCACTCAAGGCTTTATGTCAAGTTTTGGCTTTTTCCAGGGACTCCCTCTATTGCACTGGTAAGTCACTTACTGTCTCCATGCCTCGGTTTCTTAGCTGTAAAATGGGAGTGATAGTAATTCCTTCTTCCACCCTTTGACTGTCTTGTTTATTGCCGCTTCAAGCTCTTGAGGGGCTGTGTCTGAAAAGTGTATAACACAAATGTGCCTGGAAAGTGTATAACACATTGGGGCCTGCAGGTGATATATATAACATGTCTTTCATAATGCAGGATTAGCTTTCTCTCATTTTTGCTCTAAAAACATGCAGTAACAATGGATTTAGTAACATATTAAGAAGATCTGTTCTCTAGCCCCCCTGAAATTAGATCATAAGGGGCAGATTTATTAAACAAGTCAAGTACTAGCTATTACCACTGTAAACTTCTCTTTTACACAGGCTGGACCTAGTGAACTTTCAGTTTATGCCCTGCGTTTGGGACCAGGAGAGGAAATCGTCACCTCTTTGTTAAAATTTGTGGAGGATAAGCAGCTAAAAGCTCCATTTGTCATGACTTGTGTGGGCAGCATCACCAAAGCAACGCTGAGACTGGCAAATGCCACTGCTTTGAATACTAATCAGGTACCTGACATGTCTAGTGATGTTGCAGCCATGCATATAGATAAAATGGTGCATATACAGAGTGTTCTGGGGATGTGTTCTCACTTCCTAATTATCTCATGGTAAAGTAGAAGGGATAAATGCACAGCAGGATGGAACTGGCAGAGATCTCTTCACTGGTTTATACCAGCTGAGGATGTAGCCTGAAGTGAAGAAATGAGAGCAGATCACCTGATCTGTTCAAAATTTAGCCACAGGAACACATACGCTATAATTTCACTATACCTGTTTTATTGTCTTTAATTAAAGTGGGCACATCTACATGAGACATTTACTGTGCAGTAGACTAATTAGCTGCTCCATAAACATCTCAGTGTCTACATGTGTGTCCCTGTTAAACTGGAGTAAACTAATTTATTCCACAGTCCTGCTGCAGAGTAAAAAATTCTACAGCAGCACACGTGTAGATGCCACCCTGGCTGGCTGGGGTACGAGGGTGCTTCAGGGCAGGGGCTGCCTGCCAGTTAGTCCCGTACTGAAGCACTTTCATGCCCCAGCCAGCCCCTCTGCAGCATTTTATGCTGGGGGGACCAGACCCAGGCTGGCAGTCTGACCCCCCAGGCCCCTGCCAGCTGGGGCTGCTCCGACCCGGCTCAATGCGCTGTGATCCCAGGCACGTGCAAATGGCAATAAACTCCAGAATTAATTGTTCCAGAGTTTATTGCTTTGCATTAATCGTACATGTATATGCACCCACTGGTAGTTAAATTAAATGGTGCTAACACTGCATTTGGGGATATTGTGACCCTAGGTATGCGTGTCCCTTAACAGGCTTGCATAAACAATAAGATGGATTCCTATTAATGGGTAGAGAAGTTGACTGTCTTGGTGTCTGAAACTTGCCTTTCTTAAGTTCCTGGTCTACCTCTATTCAGAAGTATCTGTCAGCCACAAGGGCTGCAGAGTGTAGACTCTTTCTCTGCCAGTTCAGTTCTGGCTGCCCAAAGGTGAAGGAAACGCAACCAGTGGGAGATTCCTAAGACTGGGCCTAGAGGATTACAGACGTATAATGTATGCTGTTTCACTTAGGGGTGATCTGCAGTCAATTGAAGTCAATGGGAATCTGAAATTGTTGTTCTTTTTATTGTTATTACAGCAGTGTGTAGAGCCCCCAGTTGAGATCTGGGCCATATTGGGCTAGGTGTTATACAGACACTTCACAGAACTATGTTCTGCCCTGAAGAGCTTCCAGTCTAGTAGGAAAATACCTGGAGGGGAAACAGAGGCATGGAAAAAAAGAAGTAATTTGCCCAGGGCCTCTCAGTGGCTTATTTTAGAGATGAGAAGACAACCCAAAGGATCCATTCTTTATTTTTTTTTTAGATATGTTGCTTTTACTAGGTTTTTATATCCTGGGTTTTTGGTTTGGGATTTTTTTGGAGGGAAGAGTGATCTGCTTGGGGAAGGTTCTTTTTTACCAAAAAAACAATTTAAAACCATTCTGTTGAGTCAGATTATTATTATTTTTAATTGATCATAATTTCCCATCTCCTAAATCCACATACACAAGTTGTGGATTCACAACAGCTGTGAATTATTTCTAAGCCATGTAGCCATGTCTGCATAATATCTCCTGCTTCTTGTTAGTGATATGAAAACACTGCGAAGCCTATGTTCTCAACAGAAACAAGCAATTTGGAGTCCTTGGAAGGGGACTGACTTGGTAGCTGTTAATGGGGGCTTGCTTTTCAGAAGGTGCAATCCTTTGATAAGTAACCCCCTTTCAGGGGTCTCAGGCTGAGCACCCAGAAACCAGATCCCTCCAAGTCATTGTTTGGTTTTGAAAATGTAACCATTGTGTATGCATTCATGTGTGTATGTATGCAGGGATGTGTGTGCATTCATGTGCGTGTGTTTAGGGGATGTGTATGCATGCTTGCTTGTGTATGAATGTACATGCTGTCATGGGCACATAATGTCACTGGGTAGCAACAAACTATCCCAAGATGATGAGTTTTCCCTGGGAGTTCACATTTACCGCACAGCATCTTCTACATTTGGCTGAAATATTCCTTGACTGCCAGACAAATTAAGAGGAGTCCTGTGAGTCATGAAGGATGAAAAACTTAGTCTTTGAGCTGGCTGTCAGAGTGCTCCCTTGTCACCATCTGAGTCACAGTTGCAATAGAAGCTGTTTACAAAAACATTAAAAACTGACAGGTTGGTATTTTACTGGTAGTTCCCTGCATCGCCACTCTGGCTCTGGCCTGGTCAAGACTGTCTAGCAGTGCTACAGAGGCTGCGAGGGCAGGAAGGGAGTCCTCTAGTCTTTACCTGTTATTCTTTTGATGATTGCAGGGTGACATTGGTCCTCAAAGGGAATCCAACTCATCCCACCACAGCAGATGACTGCTGCAATGATGCTTCTTGACAGATGATGGTTTAATGCTTGGAAAAATTGGGGTTCTTTGGGAGGATTAAAGAGAAGTTACAAAAGGGAACATTGCAAATGACTTTGGCACTAATTTCCATCCAACAAAGTCCCCAGAAATTGAAATCAATGGTGGAGAGGGCTACACCACTGAGGAAATATAACCTTATTGCAATAGACAGATGAGAGCTGGACACATTTGCTCATGCCTTCACAGTTCCTGTGTGACCTTGATTAAGCCACCACATCTTGATGCCTCTCTTTCTCTGTGTGTGAACTGCAATCTTTCCCTGCCACAAAGAGGTGTTATGAGACTTCCAGGAGCTCGGTGACATTTGCGAGGCACTCTTGAATTCTGTGACTAGGCAGCATTTTGTGATTGTGAATTCTGAAGTAGAGAGTAGGCTGGAATTATGCCAGGTATAATTTTCAGTCTTTTGAGGAAGAGTCCTAGTTAAGATAGCAGGTCAGAGCAAAGCATAGTCCTGTCCTGTCCCAAGTCGCCCGTAGTCTGAGGGTTGAATTTGAATACTCAGTAAATATTTCCTGTTGTGATAAGTACAGCTAATTGGACTGCTCACTAGCATTAGTACCCTGCACATTCATTCAGACCTTTAGCTTTCCCAGTTGTGACCTGCCCAATTGTTATTGTAGCTTAAACAGTATGAGCCATGTTCTCAAAGCAAAGCCAGCAGCTGTGCCTACTAAAATGCTTACACACTTGTTGCATCCACAAACCCTTCCAGTCATGCCTCACCCACGCCCCCCCACCCCACCCCACAAAGCAATATAGTTAGTAGGTTGCTCACCTAGCCCCTTCCTTGCGCCCCATCCCTGTGCTCTGAGATCTGGGCCTAAGTGCTTTTTCTTGGACAGGTGTTTCACGTGCTTTGAATATATAAAAGTAGAGCTTCTTGCAGATGCATTGAAGAGCTTTTCCAAAAGGGAATGGCAAATTAGGGTACCTCCATTTTTGGATGCCCAGCTTGAGGCTTAAGTTCTTTGAGTTAAAATTTTCCAAAGTAGCCACTTGATTCAGGAATCAGTTGGAATCTGTGGGAGTTAGACACTGTACTGCCTTTGAGAGTTTAGCCCTTAGGCTACATTTGATTGAAAATCATTGGCTCTTAAGGACAAGGGGTTTGAAGTAACTAGCCATACAAATAGGTGCCTGGTGAGATTTTCAAAAGATTACCTTACTCTCAGCATGCTATTGGCTATAATGGAGTGTGTCTATGTGTAGTGTTGTGTGTGTGAGATTTTTTTTTTTTTTTTCATGAGATGAGGTTAACCTGACTTTGGCACAGGGGCTCCTAGTCCTTGTTATCCAGAGGAGTACAGGTTGCAGGCTGTGGGCTGCAGAGCGGCAGATTGCAGAGCTGAAATCCAGGTAAATAGCAGTTTGAAACTTCTGCGCCCTATCAGGAGGGGGAAAGAAACAATGAACCGCAAGCTGCAGACATCAAGGTAGCCTTGAGCAGCCAGCCTGGGGTAGCCAGCTAGCACTGGGGGGGTTGGCTGTGTTATACATACACTCTGGGTGGGGGCTAGACATTTTATTTTTATTAAATTAATAGTTTTGTTTGTGTCAGCCATGAGGCCTGGTATGGCTTTAATGAGGAGTAGAGAGCCCACTATTGGCACCCGGGGAAATGACTGCCCATTTGGTTTAGTTGATTTAAGGTAGAGACTGCAGACCCAAGAGGAGTGCCAAATGTGAGGACAGAGCCCAGCTGAGGCAAGATATTCTGCAAGGGTTCAGCGCGTTACAGACGGGGCCAGAAAGAGGTGGCCCAGCGATGAGCAGGGCCGAATGAGGCACCTAAGGTGTCACTCTGGTAGTTTGGGGGCTGCATTCCAAATGTATATTAATCAACAACCAGGCATGGCCGGTGAGGACGTGGCAGCACTGTGATGAGCTAGAGTAGGATATAGGCTACTAGAAAATGCCCAGACCTCTGGAGAGGCATCAGCTCCATTACAAGCACCTTATTCCAGGAGAGGGCTCACAGCTGAGAATCCCAAGTGGAGAGATATGTCCCCTCCAGCCCACATTTAGGCATCTTTCATGAGCACTACTTATGCACCTGAAAGTTATGAGAGATACCCTGAGCCTGAATGTCAACACCCTTTTTGAAAATGTTTTTTAGGCATCTAAGCTAAGTAGGCACTTTTGATAATCTCACACGTCCTTTCATGTTATTCCAGAGAGATTGGTTGTCAGCCATGTTGCATTCATTGCCTTTAGAAAAAATGGGTTTGGGTACCAGAATGTGAATTCACTCATGTATCTGTTCCTGGCAGTCAACTTTCATTTCTGCTGATTTCAGTTGTGGTTTTGTTTTCAAGATTATTCATCTAAACAAGAGGTTTGAAATTGTTTCCTTGGTTGGTACCCTGAACAAAGTGCCTCACCTCCATATATGCCTGTCAGATGAGGATGGTCACACCGTCGGAGGGCATGTTCTCGGTGACTTGGAAGTCTTCACTACAGCTGAAATAGTGATTGGTGAATGCAAAAGCCTGCATTTCACCCGGGAGATGGATGGTAGCACAGGTTTCCCAGAACTTATCATTAGTGCTCGCTCTG